GCAGAGGATGGATCACTTGATGATTACCTGTTCTGTTCGTTCCCTCTGGGGCACCTGGCATTGGCCACTGTCAGAAGACAGGATACTGGGCTAGATGGACCTTTGGTTTGACCCAGTGTGGCCGTTCTTACGTTAACTGTCTCACCTTTGTCCATATGATTGTTGAATCCAGGGCTTTGGAGCTGTGCTCCGCTCCAAAGCCCTGGTTGAATCCCTCAAAGAATTCTAAGAGATTGGTGAGGCATGATTTCCCTTTACAAAAGCCATGTTGATTCTTCCTCAACAAACTGTGTTCCTCTATGTGCCTGGTAAATCTGTTCTTTCCTATAATTCCTACCAATTTGCCTGGTATTGAAATAAGACTTACCAGCCTGTAATTGCCAGGATCGCCTCTGGAGCCTTTTTCAAAAATTGGCATCACTTTAGCTATCCTCCAGTCATCTGGTAAAGAAGCTGATTTAAGTGATAGGTTACACACCACAGTTAGTAGGTCTGCAGTTTCCTATTTGAGTTTCTTCAGAACTCTAGAGTAAATACCATCTGCTCCTGGTGACGTATTACTGTTTAACTTGTTAATTTGTTCCAAAACCTTTTCTAATGACACCTCAATCTGGGAAAGCAGTCACAGAAAGGCCAGCTGAATGCATGGGGATTGCAGCCAGGTGCAAAGGCAGCCAGGGCTGAACATCTTATTGAACACCTGCTGAACAGAGGATTGAACCTACCTGCCAGAGAGTGCTACAGTAAATGGGAGTGGGGGGAGGAGGGGAAGGGGTTGGCACCAGAGACATCTTGGGGCTATACCCATGTGAGAATCCTAGCTCCAATGACATCTCCATGTGTCTTATATACTAGCCAGAAGCTGATATGAATCTGATAGGTTGGAAGCTTTGGCCCCTTCAGCTATGGTTGTGAAGTTAGCTTCGCTACTCTATTCCCCCGCCCCATCACCACCTCTTCTGGGGATCCTTCTCCCTGACCATTAACTCCAGTGCTGCCTGCTGCTGCTGATAGCTTTCCTTAGTGGCAGCAGTATACTGAAATTCACCCAACTCTTGACATTTCATTGCTGTGCACAGGGCTCTGACTAGTAGCATTGATTAGTCTTGTCACTTTCACTCTGCTGCTGCTTGTCAGGTGAAGAGTACCAGAGAGGCACTGGAGCCCTCTGTGTGCAGGCTCAAGAGCGCAATGCCACATCCTTACATCCTTTGTATTTGGAAAGATTTTTTTCCCCCCCCCTCAACCATAAAGACTAAAAACTTTATTTTCAAATCCTATAGGATTGATAGGTTAAGCCCTTACACTCACATGGAAGGGTTCCCACTGCTCATTGGGGAGGAGACAAGAGCATCTTTCAAGGCCTGAATGTACCTGATAGGGGACCCTGACCCTGCAAGAGTGAATCCTGCAAACAAGGATGCTCAATGGAGTTCTGGCAAGTCCCATTAAGTTTGCCTCTGCGTGGTCTTGGCCCCTGACTCTTAAGGAGTGAGAATGGACCCAGCCCAGCAGCTAACTGTGTTGCATAGGGAAAGAAGAGCTCATTCAGGTACTCCAGGGTGTAGGAATAGCAGAGTTGGTTATTTTTTCTTAATTTACTATTTTCTCCACTTACATTATTGGGCAGTGTCAGTTGTTTGTGTATAAGGAGACAAGATGCTTAAGAGTTCGAATGGCCTCCCAGACTTTGCTGGGAGAGCGTTTCTGTAACACTCATTGCTGTATTTAAGTGTAGTCTGGTGGTCTCCTTTGGACTCATAATTCTAACCTGAGGCACCAAGGCCCTTCAGAGAGTTGCTTTGCCCAAATCTCAGATCTGTGTATTGGTTGGAGATAGAGCAGAGCTGGCTGGCTCCTTGTGCTTGCAGCAGTTCCTAATGGTTTGACTCTTTGCTTCAACATTAGAAAAGCCAAGTATATTCATAGAAACCAGGGTATTCCAGGGTCCAGGAGGGGATTGTGCCCAAAAGCAAAGAAAAGGTTTCTGGAGAGAAGAACAAAACCGTGTTTGTGTGCTCACTCTGTCCAACTGATGAGCTGCAAAACTGTCAGGGAGGCGTATAGACCCAAGCACAAAACATACTTGCTCAATTCCTGTCATGATGGAAAACTTAACATCTTGTTCACCCATAAAGAGAGAACTTGTCCTGGCTGAGTAGAATTAATGCATAAGCCAGCTGTGCACATTACAGCCTATGGACTCAGGTCCCTGGACTGGTGTCTCCTTTTGTTTTGGGCTCTGATCCATTGACTGTTTTGTGCTGAATAAGATCTGGAACCTTTTGTGAAACATGGGACTATCATGCATCTGGGTTAGGATACTGGGGTTTGTGGGACTCGATACTGGGTTATTTCCTGAGCATTCTCAATGTGTACAGCACTATACAAAAGCAAATGTAGGGCCAAATTGGCCAAACTGGCACTTATGTCAGTGTAACTTATGTTGCTCAGGTGGGTGGAATATTCACAGCCCTGAGCGATGTAAGTTTTGCCGACATACGCAGTAGTGTAGACGTAGCCTAAGATAACTAAGATGGATTCCTAACAGTGGGATGCTTTGCATAAGCTGCAGGTGGTGGCATGCTATTTTTCCGTGGGGTTTGAAAGAGAGGGCGAATGCTTGTCACCCTGAGGTAAGAAAGTAGCCTGGGGAGTCAGATACCAACAGTGTGATTAGGGTGGCTCTCATGAGTGAGGGCTGAACGACATAGACAGCTGCTAGGCCATCATCCCCTGTGTCTACATCCTGAGCGTGAACCCCATAGCATCCTGCTTCTTGGTCCTCTCCTGAGCAGAAATGGCCAGTCGTGCCAAACCATGCTGGTTTTGTGGTGTGAAGTGATCTTGGCTAGTGAATAGAATGAGGCTGAAATCCTCATCCCTTCCGTCCCCACAGTGCTACTTAGCACTTTTCTAGTCATGTTCACAGGCACAGCGCTGTACAAACGCTGTTCCCTAAATGCCTCATGAATTGGGCATATTAGTATCACCCATGTCCTACAGAGGGGGAAACTAAGGTTCCAAGAGACTGAGACTTGGTGGAAGCCAGCAAGGGAACCCGTGGCAGAGCTGGGATCCTGGTGGCTCTGGTCTCCTGCTTTGGTCTCCTGCTTTAACGGCTAGACCATGGGGTTTGCTTCACCTCTCTGGAGAGGTAGTTGAGTCTCTCCGCATGCCTTATAATGATAAACGTATTTCCTTTGGTTTGGTGAACGTTTCCCTTCTCATCTAATATCTCTGCCTTCTGATTTTCCATTGCCCATTTAAAGAGTACTCCCAAGTCCTCTCCTCTCTTCAGACTATGGTGTTCCACTTGGATGATCCTAGTTTATGGCAGATTCCCAGTGAAAACTCTGCTTTTGTCCATATCCTGTCACAGCATCCTGGTTGTTTTTAGAAATTCCAGTCCAGAGTGGTGGTATCCAGAGAACCACGTGCACTTCCAAAGGTGCTGCCCTTGTAGACCCACCCTCCCATGACACTGTTGATGCAGCACAGAAGGTTGTGGCTGCCATCTTGGGTTTGCTTCCTCTGGGAGTTGAGATTCCCTGGGCTCCTTTTAAAGCTTGGCTTTCTGTTACCAAGGCAGACTGGAATGGGGATAAAGGGGCCTGAAGCCAGGGAGAAGGAGATTCCAAATTGGGGGTGATGGGATGCTTCCCCCTGGGGTGTTACCTCATGTGCTGGGCTACCACTGAGCCCACTGGTTCTACCAGTCTGGATTCCCATACACTGCCCTGCTGAGCCAGGCCCTCAAGCCTCCTCCAGTACACATCCAGCTGCAGAAAGACACAGACACTGAGATCAGCTCTGTGTGGGAGGACTCAGCTTGGGAATTGCCCAGCACTCACGTGCACACCCCCTCTGTAGTGTAAACCCAAAATTGTATTGTCTTGCACTGCACAGAGAACTGTACAGTGTAAACTCAGGAAATCTGCCCCCTCCCTCAGTGTGGAGGAAGATATGCACAGCGTTTTGCTCCCCCCAGTTATGAATTCCACAAACTGGTTTCAGAATAAACAAAAACAAGTTTATTAACTACACAAGATAGATTTTAAGTGATTATAAGGGATAGCAAACAGATCAAAGCAGATTACCTTAGAAAATAAAAACGTAAACTGATCTTAACACACTAGATAGGTAGGATATAAATTAGCAAATTCTCACCCTGAGCGATAAACAGGCTGGCAGATTCTTAAGGCACAAGTTGCCTTGGCTTTCCCAGGCTTTCATTCACAGGCTAAAGATCCTTCTAGCCTGGGACCATCACTTCCCACAGTTCAGTCCTTGCCCCTCAGGTGTTTCCAGGTGAGTTGTTGCAGGGAGAGTGTGGTACCCTCATGATGTCACTGTCCTGCTTTTATATCTTCTTCCCACTTGCTGGAAAGCTCTTTTGCTGTGACCTGGGTCAAACAGTTCCCATTGTGTAGTGTTATCTCTGAGAGTTTTCTATTGTACACAGTTCCTGGGGTAATCCTTGTGCTTGTGTGTATTTCCTCAATAAGCCATTAGCATTGTTTGGCCTTTTTACTGTTGTACCTGAAAGGTGGCTTGTGGGTGTTTTCAACCTCACAACGTGTTTCAGTAACACATACCTAGCCAAACTTCATATCTTCACATATGACAATGAGATGCTAATGTCTAGCAGATCAAGACTTTTAGAATGATACCTCACAAGTCATACTTTGTATAAAACATATCCTAATTACATGACAGTGGTGAATATTGGGGTGTCAGAGTGTCACAAGGGGGTTGGGATTTTCCAGTTCTCATGAACTCTGAATGGGTCTGTGCCCAGAGTACAGCTGCACCTTGCAAGCATCAGGGCTGCCACCATGGGCACTGAGTTGAGGAGTTGGCTCTTGTAGATGCTCTCATCGGTGTTGGCCAAGGCAGTAAGTTGCAAAGCGTTGGGTCACTTGGTGTGGCAGATTTGGGTTTGAATGGAAGGGGGCAGGCCTGCAATGTCACTTGTCTTGTTTTTATTCCTAGTGTGAATGTTCAAGAACACAGAAGCTCAAGACCCTTTGTGTGTTGACCAGATGTCGTCCCGCAAAGGGTCAGCAACCAGCCAAGGAAATGGACTTTCCAACAGCAGCCGAGAAGGAGACGATTTGGAGCTGGCAGAATTGGGGCCGCTACTAGAGGAGAAGGGAGACCAGGGAGCTGCCAGCTCAGCCAGCGTAAGCCACAATCCAACAGAGTGCCCCCAAGCAGGACAGCTGCTGGGATCTGCAAACCAAACCCATTCGGTGCTTTTTCTTCCTATAAATTGCTTCCAGTCAGTCCTGTTGAATGTGCCCTGTACGCCCTAGAGTTACAGACAGATATACTCCTAGTTATTTAGGCTCTCAACACTGTCCTTGCAGATTAACCCAGAAATCTGCCTGTAATCCCATTAGCAGCATGGTGCATGGAAGTGTGGGGCTTTGGGCTCCCTACAATAGACCCTGACCCTTGTTATCCCTTTACACCAGTGCACAGTGGGGGTGAAAATGGACTGAATCTGAATGGTGAGGATTTGCACCCACTCTATGTTGTTCAGAGTGATGACATGTCAGAAAATCTGTCCTGGAAATCTTATTCCATTGCATAGAAGGTAATCTGTCATAAGCAAACAACCCCTCCCACCCCAGTTTGCTCCTGTTTTCTGGGGCGGAGGGACAGGGCCGGCGCTCCAGGCACCAATGTAGCAAGCTGGTGCTTGGGGCAGCACATGGAAGGGGGCTGCACGTCCGGCTCTTCGGCGGCAATTCAGCGGCGGGTCCCTCGGTCCCTGTCAGTGGGACGGACCTGCCGCCGAACTGCCACTGAAGAATGAAGTGGCGGCAGTAGAGTGGCGGCGGAAGTGCCGCAGATCGCGGCCGCGGCTGTTTTTTTTGGCGGCTTGGGGCGGCAAAAACTCTGGAGCCGGCCCTGCGGAGGGAGGAGGGTGAACTGGGCTCAGCCAGCCTTCAACAAATCTCGCCCCATAGCATCAGCCAAGGAACACCCTCTGCACGCCTGCTGACAGCACTGCCTGCAGGTGAACAGGGTGCACTGCAGGAGTTCTAAGGAGCATTCTTATTGGTTCACCTGCTTTTGTGGCTTCTAAGCTTCTAACAAGTATCTTCTAATACTTGTTAGTAATAGATAGGGGCAGCATGTTCACAGCAGCCTCTGCTTTAGGCGTGCAGTGAAAAGGGGCCGCCTGTGTTCTTTAATGCTTCTGCTTCGGCTGTACCTGGCCTATTTCCTGGGCTCACGTCCCTGGCTGGAGCAGAGTGGCCATTTCAGGCTGCACCCTGGACTGTAAAGAAGGAAAATCCTCCATTCTAATCCTTGTTCTAAGCAAAACTGAATCTGGGATTAGCCCTTCTGTGTGCGGTTTAAGACAGTACCATGATGCAAAAGCAGCGGTGATTGGGGAGGCTTCCATCTCTCCCCTCTCAGAAGGGCTGCAGCACCTATATATTCTAAGGGTTCACACCCCTCTTGGTTGGAATATACTTGCTGTTTTGTAAGTTCCCCACATCTTGACGGTCCGTCTCTCTGGTGGTTTTTGGCTTGTGACAAATAATGGCATCTCTCCCTTTAGGCCAAGGAGCAGCCATGCACAGTGCCGCAGGAGGAGGAGGAGGAGGTGGTTCGCGTGCTGACTCTACCTCTGCAGGCTCATCACGCTATGGAAAAGATGGAGGAATTTGTGTATAAGGTATTGTCAGCTCATGGCAGCCGACGGAGGACGGCTGCCAGGGCTCTGGGCCGCTGTCCTCTGCTGTGACAGAATCTGAGGCATTGTGCTGGGTCTGCATTGGGGTTAATCTTCCTTGTTAGGAGGACACCATGAATGTGGGTGACTATATCCAGTGCACTGGGGTTCCCCCTAGCATGGGCAGGGGGCCTGAGCCAAGAGCTTAACAAATTTTCAACTGCAAGGCCAAGAGGAATGGAAAGTGAACAGCAGCACCTGTGAAATGCTGTTTCTCCTTCCCGTCCTTGCTGTCTGTGCACCTGAGAAGCCCTCTACAGCCAACAGTGACCCCGGGTGCTGTTTGGAGAATGCCAAGGACCTGACAGGTGGAACAATCTAGGTGTATCTAGTGCATGTGACAGTGAGGGCTATCCATATCTGGCAGGGGCAAGTGTGGTGCAAACCCCTGCCCTAATCTAGCTCGGCAGGGCCCCTCTGATCCGTCCTGGGGTCTGCAGCACTGGCTGCTACCTGTCCAGTATTGCTGTGGTGTGCCTTGGGGACTAAGCAGAAGCTCCTGTACTCACTCACACACCTGTGGAGCCATGGGAGAGAAGGGCTAGTGCAGCGATTGCTGGGGCCAGGATGAAAACGTGGTCCCAGGGCGCTCCTGTATGAACTCCGTTGGGGTTTTTGTCACAATGTCCCGTAAGAGCTGTCACGTTGCCAGCCATGGCTCAGCTGACCATTTTGCTTGTTAAGGTGATGAAGGGCCAAATTCTGAGGGTGCTGGTCTCAGTCAGTCCCAGGGTATTGAGTGTGGGGAAGGCCCCGCACTCTGCAGGATTTGGCCCTTTATGGGCATCCTGTGGGTATTTGCAAAGCATTTAATTTTGCAACAGCGGAATTTGCTCTTGAGTTATCATGTCCTCTGAGGAGAGAAGGCTGGGCTAGTTCAGTACTTAACTCACAGAAGAGACTGACTGGTTCTGTGTGGTTTTCAGCTTGACTTTCACAGCGATGGGCACCATGGAAACAACAGCTAGCAGTCACGGGGATAGGAGTGGCTCTGGAGCAGGTGCCATGCCTGGCTGGGGGCCGCCAGTCAGAGTAACCGCCTGCGTGGGTTGATGTGTTGCAGGTGTGGGAAGGGCGCTGGAGGGTGATTCCCTATGATGTGCTCCCGGACTGGCTGAAGGATAACGATTACCTCCTGCATGGACACAGACCCCCTATGCCGTCCTTCAGAGCCTGCTTCAAGAGCATCTTCCGAATACACACCGAGACGGGCAACATCTGGACTCACTTACTAGGTGACTGAGGGGGAGCTCTATCCTTGGGGCTGATGAGTACGGCTGTGGCCCCACAAGCATGCCCTGCTCAGGACAGAGACCTCACAAGGCAAGGGCCCGGCCTCAGAGGGCTCACAGGCTGACTCTAGTGGATGCCTTTTACCAGGGGAAAAGTTTCACTCAGTGTCATCTGTCACATAAACAGTCAAGGTCGGGAGGGGGTGTCCTGTTCTCCCCCCATCCTCCCTCTGCTTTCTCTTTAGTGGGCAGGAAGAAGGGGAGAATTCCTCCCCAGCGAGAGGATGGAGGGAGCTTGGTATGGGCCTGTCATGGCTGCGCCCTCAATCAGAGGGGCAGAGATATCCCCTGGGAGTTATTTTGTCTTCCCCAAAGGGCTGGATACACTGCCAGGGCAGCAAACCTGTCTGTCTAGGAGCTCGGGCCCCCATGCTGCCTCCAAATCATTCCACTGGCCAGTGTTGGTAGACTATTTCAGGGCCCGGGTCACTCTTGGGTTCCCATGGCCTGTTGTGCCAGATCCTCCGCTGGGCTGGGGTGGTAGCCATTTGAGCCCTGTGTGGGGCAAGTGTAGATCCCTGAAGGACCCACTGCCATAATAGCAGGAGCAGGTGGGAGTCCTGTGCAGGACTCTAGTAGCCATATTCTCACTACATGCACTGAGTGAGTGTGGAGCTGGCAGAGCGATAACCCATTGGACTCTCAGGGGATGGACATAAGGATTACTGTGGGGCGCTGGTGAGGATTAACCCCTGTGAACAGACACGTCTGTGTTCAGAGTCTGACAGACCTGCAGAGCAGAACTGGGACTTGCTGGGCTCACGGAAGGGGAAGGTGGGCGCTGTTCCCATGGAGAACAGTGAAGAATGTCTGTCCCCCCCCACAGTGGGAGAATGGGAGCTGTTTGGTGCTGAGCCCTCTGTGCTCCCTAGAGCCTCACTTTATGCTGCGTGGCGGGTTGGGTGCCCCCATTCAGATGTACTGCTCTGTCACTAGGAAGCCAGAAATGAGGAACCAGAAGCTCTCGCCTCACCTGGCACAGAACACACCTTGTCAGGGTCAGAGTGGGCTTGTCCCATCAGGGTGTGTAGCCTGCTTCCTCTTCGTCTGGCCAGGGATCCAGGCTTGGCATCCGTGCTGAGCACCAGACAAGTAGTTGGATTCACTTTAGGGATTATGTTGCTGTCATTGCTGCCAGGGTGCACTTGACCTTTGGGTGAGGGCCGTGTGTGGGGAGAACAGGCCACTCCCTTTCCCCAGCATCACAAGGCAAAGAGGGATCTGACCCCCTAGGCCAACTGAGACTGTTCATGCTCTCCTAGAACCTGTTATGGTGGGCACCAGCTTATTGTCTGGCAGCTGGCACAATGGTGATCTGTCAGTTCTCAGCTGTGCTCATCCAGTGTCCTCAGAGCTGGACCGGCTCGAGGAAGGGGTGCAGTCAAGTAAATGTAACTGCCAGGCGGGCGATAGCTCCCAGAAAGGTCCTGGCCAGCACATCTGTCCTCTAGCTCACAACTGGGGATTGGTCCTGCTTTGAGCAGGGGGTTGGACTAGATGGCCTCCTGAGGTCCCTTCCAACCCTGATATTCTATAATTAAAAAAAAAAAAATAAACTGCCATTGACCTCCTCACAGTGTCCCTGTCAGTGCTGCTGGGCAGCACAGCTCAGCCTCCATTCCAGCAAAGTGAGGGGAGCGCACTGCGAGTGATATCTGTGTGACGGGTTGGGTCACAGAAACCCCCATGGGACTGCCGCCTGATGTGCTGAGACTACCTCAGAGCCAGTTTTCCCTGCCAGCTTGGGACTTCAGTACCCTGTCTTGTTGAGCGAAACACAGACCCAGGTCTGAACCACATCCCCCAAAAGCTGCAGACTTAACTGAAAACAGCTTAAGAAGCACTCCTGTCTCTAGCACCCATACACCCAGCTCCCAATGGGATCCAAACCCCAAATAAATCTGTTTTACTCTGTATAAAGCTTATACAGGGTAAACTCATAAATTGTCCGCTCTCTATAACACTGATAGAGAGATATGCACAGCTGTTTGCTCCCTCCAGGTATTAGTCACTAACTCTGGGTTCAGTAATAAGCAAAAAGTGATTTTATTAAGTATAAAAAGTAGGAGTTAAGTGGTTCCAAGTAATAACAGACAGAACAAAGTAAGTTACCAAGCAAAATAAAACAAAAACATGCAAGTCTAAGCCTAATACATTAAGAAACTGATTACAGATAAATTTCATCCTCAGAGATGTTCCCATAAGCTTATTTCACAGATTAGACTCCTTTCTAGTCTGGGCCGAATCCTTTCTCTGGTACAGTCCTTGTTCCACCTCAGGTGGTAGCTAGGGGATTTCTCATGACTGCAGCCTCCTTTGTTCTGTTCCACCCCCTTATATAGCTTTGGCACAAGGCGGGAATCTTTTGTCTCTCTGGGTCCCCACCCCTCCTTCTAAATGGAAAAGCCCCAGGTTTTAGATGGATTCCAGTACCAGGTGACATGGTCACATGTCCTGTGAGACCCCAGCCTTCATTCTTCCTGGCCTGACTGACAGGAAGGCTTGCAAGTAAACAGAGCCATTTACAACCAATTGTCCTAGTTGATGGGAGCCATCAAGATTTCAAACCACCATTAATGGCCCACACTTTGCATAATTACAATAGGACCTCAGAGTTGTGTTTCATATACAAGAATGATATATACATACAAATAGGATGAACACACTCAGTAGATTATAAGCTTTGTAATGATACCTTACAAGAGACCTTTTGCATGAAGCATATTCCAGTTACATTATATTCACACTCATTAGCATATTTTCATAAAATCATATGGAGTGCAACATCACAGTCTGCTCTCCTGGGTGGACAGCACGAGGGTCAGGGCCTTTCCAGGGGAACCCGGGCAGAGGCAGATTTTGCTCGTGGCCTTTGACTGGAGGTGCAGCTCAGTGTACCCAGGGCTACTAATGATGGTCAGATTCGCAGTTCCTCCTGTAGGGAGGGAAGTGTGTCACAGATGCAATGAACTAGCTCACAACAGCAACATTCCTGCTAGTCAACCAGCACTGAGGGCCAGGTGCAGACTGAAGCCATGTTAAAACAATTCCGAGTCAGACCACTCACCTGGCCATGCTAACCACATCACACGCCATCCGCCTTCTAGCTCTGCAGGCAGTGGTCCCTCTTGGCTCCAGATGTTTGAGGCAAAAATGAGCTCTTCCATCAAGTCCCCAGAGGGTGTGCCGAGCCCTGCTGCCCATGGGGACTGGATCATTTGTGCTTTTATCTCCAAGTGGGCCCCATCCTCCAATGAAGGTCCTGGAGCCATTTGGCAGTGCTACAGAATGCTCTTCAAGGCCTTCCAGAAGGTCCAGGCAGGGAAAGGGCTGCATGCGTGAGCCTGTCCTGTCCGGAGCAGCTGGGACAATGTGTGCTCAGCATGGTCTGGAACTGAGTGGTGTCCGTATCAGTGGCCAGTCTGGCAGTCGAATGTCAGCACAAATGGGGCATGCAGGGCCCAGGCCCAAGCTCCCAGACCCCAAGACATAGTGTTGCTAAGGCCTCTGGGGGAAGGAACACCTCAAACGACTCCTCTCATCTCCCCTCCCCCAGGAGCAGAACTGATGAGTGTGGCAGGGAGTGCCACACATCTCTCTCCAGAGGCTACTGGATCTTTGGAGAATAAGTAAGGCAGCCTGGACCTTCCCCACTGCTATCCCCGCAAACGGGTTTGGCCCCTCCAAGGCAGCAGAGTGGAATGCATGTTGCACTGGGCATAGCAACACCCTGCTGCAGGCCCTGCCAGGGAGATCCTATGCGGCTTTTCTTGTTCCCAGGGCAGCTACCGAGTTCCCCTGTTAACAGTGTGACCCTTCTGTGCTGCTCTCTCCTGGAGCAGGCAGGGATTACAAAGACCCTTGGTGTTGATTTTCCCCAGGTCTGCTGTGAAACGCTGGCTCACTGCCATTGCACAGGCGCTCCCTTGGGCAGCTGTTGGAAGTGGCTCCTGCTGTCTGACTGACTCTTTGGTGTGTTGGCTGCAGGTTTTGTGTTGTTCCTCTTCTTGGGGATTCTGACCATGCTCAGGCCCAACATGTACTTCATGGCCCCTCTTCAGGAGAAGGTGGTGTTCGGGATGTTCTTCCTTGGAGCAGTGCTATGCCTCAGCTTTTCCTGGCTTTTCCACACCGTCTACTGTCACTCAGAGAAGGTCTCCCGGACGTTTTCAAAGTGAGTCGGCTGCAGCAAAACAACCACAAAACTGTGTTCAGCAGCAGCAGCTGCTAACTCCTGGTCGTGTCCTAGCAGCAGGCTGACCTAGAGGAGACCTAGCCCAGCCTTATCCTTCCAGGCACTGAACAACATAGTGTGCGAGGCTTTTGGAGCAGACCTTGCTCAGGCCAGTCTGCCAAAGGGATTTACCTACCAGGTGCTGCTTTGCACAGCACTAAGATCAGGGGGGAGGGGTGGGAGATTGTTCTTTAGAACAGGCTTTGCTGTGGTGCCCTTAGCCAAAATGCCTTGATGTGCCATTGGATGTTACGCAGCTGCTGCTCTTCACCCGAGCACTGGCTGCATTTCAGTGGGGAGGTGATTCCCATGTGTATCATTTGCAAGCACTTGGGGATGAAAGAAGCTGTCAGCATTCCTGTGAAAACAAGGGCTAAGAGCTACTGCTTCCCACTGAGGTTGTGCCAGTGCTTGTCCTGTCCATGCTGTCACTAAACAGTCAGAAAACTGCACAGACACACCTAATTCTGCTCACGCCTGTACCGCCCAGACAGACCCACCCTCCTACGCTTCTGCTCCACAAACTCACTTGGAACGCAAACAGAAGCGCCCACAATGCATTGCTGCAGTTCTTCCCAGTCACACTCCCCCTAGGTAGGCCTACAGACGTAGGTAGGGTCACAAAGTCTGGAGGGCTACAGCTGGAGAGCCAGCAGTTGGGCTGCGAGAACGGGAGCTGAGGGTGTAGATGTGCCAGAGTGAGGGGAGTGCACTTCCAAACTGACCCCTGGGTTTCTCTCTCTCTGTCTGTGTTCTAGATTGGATTACTCAGGAATAGCACTGCTGATTATGGGGAGCTTTGTCCCCTGGCTCTATTACTCGTTCTACTGCTCACCGCAGCCTCGGCTCATCTACCTCTCCATTGTCTGTGTCCTGGGCATCTCCGCAATCATTGTCGCTCAGTGGGACCGGTTTGCAACCCCCAAGCACAGACAGACCAGAGCAGGTAGGAACGCTTTTCATTCAGCCACAAGCTGCTCAGCTGGCGTTAGTGGATGTTGACTCGGTAGCATGCTGGGTGTAGGCGGGGCCACTCCCACTGGGTGTGACATAGAAAGCCCCACAGCCTGAAGGAAGGGCTTGCGGCTAAGGCACTTAACAGGGACTCAGGAGATCTGAGCTCATTTCCCACCTCTGGGTAGGTCACTTCATTCCTCAATCTGTAAACTGGAGATAAAGAGACTGCTGCCTCCCAGAAGACTGTAGTGGCTAACTTCAGTGCATGAGCCATTTGGGGACCCATAGAAAAACTACCAATCAGTGTGGGCACAAACCAGTTTCCCCAGAAGGATTCACTTCACCATTTCTCTGGCAATGAAAACTCCCATCAGTGTCCTTGTCTTTAGCTTCCTGCTGTACCTTCTTTGCTTTGCAATACAGCAATGTGCCAGGAGAGAGCCTGTGTTGGGCTTCGAGTGCCGATCTGAGTAGACTGGCCTGGCCTGGCCTGGAAATGCAAGTGGCATGAGCCTGGTGCCATTGATGTTAAGGCCACAGCATTTAGTGTCCTCAATGGAAACAGGATCACACCCTTTATTTGTAGGCCACTGAGTGCCTGGGTGAGCTGTCACTTTTGTGGTGTGATTCTGGTGTCGGCCGGTGTGGAGCAGTGGCAGCCCCCTAGGAACTGGGATCAATGACTGACAGACACATCTGCTCTTGATTTGGGTATGCTGAGCCAAGCCTCCACAACCCAGCTCTAGTGAGAAGAGCAGGAGAAGGGCCTGAAGCATTCCAGTGTGACAGCTGTATCTGGCCAGCCTTGGTCCTGAGCTGCTGTTACAGAGTTAAGGGCAACATACATTTCCCTCCCACAGCCACAGGGCAGATGCAGGGCTCTGCCACCTGGCAGTGATGGCTAGTGTTGGACGTTTACTAGTCCAGAAGGCACAGGTAGTTTTCACTTAGATATAGCTTAAATGAATGTTCCTGTGCTTCCTGCCCCAGCCGGAGTCCTGGCTGCTTCCCCCAGGGCTGTCCCACTCCTGGCTGTGCCGCGAATCGTCCATTGTCAGTGTCACCCTGAACTGGGAGGCTCGGGCTCACTTGAAACCGGCTGCAGGCAGCACAGGGTTCTTGTGATCCTTGTTCAGGATCGGGCCACAGCAGGAGGCTAGTCAGCCTGCTTAGTACTGAGGCCTGGAGGTGGATGGAAGTTGTCTAGTGCAGGGCGTCTCGACCTTTTTCTTACTGAGGCCTCCCCGACATGCTATAAAAACTCTGTGGCCCGCCTGTGCCACAGCAACTGGTTTTCTGCATATAAAAGCCAGGACCAGTGTTAGGGGGTAGCAAGCAGGGCAGCTGCCTGGGGCTCCATGGCACAGGGCTCCACACAAAGCTACTTTGCTCAGATGTCGACTTCAGACCCGGGGGGCGGGGCTCACGGCCCCGGGCTTTAGACCCATGCGGTGAAGCTTCCACTTTCTGCCCTGGGCCCCAGCAAGTCTAACGCTGGTCCTGCTTGAGGAACCCCCTGAAACCTCACAGCCCCCCAGGGGGCCTCGGAGCCCTGGTTGAGAACCACTGGTTTAGTGAGCCCAGGGGTTTTCCTCTCTGCTGGGGCTGGGAGCCCCTTGACCGGCTGAGAGCTGGTAACCCTCCAAGGGGAGCAGGAGCTGCGGAATTGCTGCCAGAGGTTGTGACTTTGTCCAGGGAGCCCTTCCCAGAGCAGCATTCACCAGGGACATCTGCTTTTATCTCTTCTTCTCTCCTCCCCCCCCCCCGCCCCCCCCAACCCTGCCCCCATGCCTCGAGCCGGGTTGGCTTTGCCAGTCGCAGCAGTTACTGGTGCCAAGGGCACGTGGAGCCAGAGCATGGGAATTGTCTTGCAGTACAGCTGAAAACTGGTTGGCTTGTTCTCAGTGGGGAATGATTCCCCTGCTAGACACAGACCCAGCAGCTTTCGCCCCAACTTTGTGTCCTCTAGGCTGTAACCCTTTCCTTGCTGGAAGCCAGGGTGGGTGTCCTGGCAACTGCTTGAACAGGACAGCCACTGAAATGGTGGAACCAAGATCCTTCTAGCCCCCTGAGGATCCGTTGCTCCCTGGGCGCTGGAGGTAGCCCAGCTGGTGAGATGTACCATGTGGCAGCCCCGTGGGGGACATCAGGAACAGCTGTGCATTAGCACAGAGTGGGGTGACATGGTGCCTTTCTGCCAGAGGCCTGAAGAGGCAGCGCCTGGTGCTATCAGCCAATGGATACTCTAGAACGCGCCTCCTTCCCAAAGGCTCTCTGTTCTCGCCATGGCTACCGCGTCTGCTGTGCTCAGCACTGTGGCTCGCGGGCCCCCTCCCTGCAGCATGGCCAGCCTGTGTCCTGCTATCCTAGGTCAGTCCATCTCCCCCGGCGCCTGCCCCTTACTGGGCTGGAGCCCCTGCCTAGCTGTGCTCCAACCGGCAATGCAAGGGCAGCCAGACCCCATGCTGAACATGCCTCACCTGGGGGGAAAGTTCAGGATCTGGGCCAGGCCCACACTTCGTGGTTTGCTGCTGCCTTTAATGTGCTGCACTGACCTTGGAGGGGTGGCTGGGAAACCACAATGCACTGACTTGCTTCCTGGCCAAATCTCTAGGGTTTGTGCCTTTGCCCAAGGGGTGGCGCAGGGCATGGAGCTGCCTGCCTTGAACTCCAGCTCTGCCTTCTGGCTCCCCCAACATGCTCCCTATGGGCCCTGTGCAGAACCCCCCTTCCCCCACACACCCCCTATGGACCCTGCACGGAACTCCTCTATGCCCTACGGGCCCTGTGCAGAGCCTCCCTTCCTTCTGCCCCTAGACTCTGATGCAGCCTCTGCTGTCTGAACAGGAGCACTGGCGAAGTGACACTCCTTGGTTGCTCAAGTTGCAGGGCCTGGGGTGACACCCCACCAGTGTCTGGTCCCGGCCAGGCATAGAGATGTGACCTGTGGGAGCTAGGGGTGCCCCAGCAGTGCTGCCGCCAGGGCAGCTGGCAGTGCCCTGTCAGGGACCCTTTCCTGCACCCAGCTGAAGAATGCTGCTGCTGGTTGGGCCTGCTAATGGGGGTGGGATGGAGTGAAACAAGGAGGGAGCTGTGCCCTGTTGGGTGGAGTGCAGCTGGCCTGAAGCCCCTAGGCTGAGCTCTCATCTCTGTGCCTGCAGGGCCCCCAGTGGTGGGGTTGGGGCTGGCGAGGCCTCACAGGGGATGCATGGCAGAGGCCAGCAGCCCCCTGTCCCACACAGGGAGCTCATGGAGTGGAAGGCAGCTGTGGGAGATGGCACTTGCTGCACAGTGGCACTCCAGCTGGCAGACTTCCTGCCTGAGGGGCTAGTGCATGAAACCTGCCCTGGGGCCACTGGAGCTGGCGTGCAGCCCTAGTGGAGAGGCGTGGGACAGAGGCTGAGGTAGAGGGAAGAAGCGGTGCTGGTGCCAGGCTTGTTTCTGCCTGTGCTGTGGGTTCTGAATTTGCTGATGCTGGGCACAGGCTGCCAGCTGCCCCAAAGGGCAGGAGGTTCCTGCCTGGTGCCTCACCCTCTGGAGTTTGAAGCCCCTTGATTGCTATCTGGAAAGGCCCAGAGGCTGCTGCAGCAGAGACCTCCCTTCTCTGGGCAGTGGCTTGGCAGCCAAAAGCTGCCACTCAGCTGTAGAAATGAGCTCCCTCCTCCACGTTCATCCCTGCCAGCCTCCCTCTGCTCCCCCCCCCGGTGGGGGAGGGGCAGCACACCTGCACTGGAGCACTTCTGCACTTGACCACTTGCCACCTGGGCTGTGGGCTGAGCGGGGCTGCAGTGGTTAGTGCTGCCTGTGTCTCGGCTGAGCTGCTGTAGCTGTACTGATTGTAGTGTCCTGGTGTGCTGCCAATGGCCCTAGGTGCTTGGTGGAACAGCTCACATGCTCTGTTGTATGTGCCACAGGCTGCTTCCATACAGTCCGCACTGTATCCCCACTGGAGCCTCTCCCAGTCAGCACCAAGGTCACAGCCCCAGAGAACAGGAGGGAGTCACATAGGGGAAGCCCACGCTGTATAAAATACAAACCCTGTCATTGCTGGCCTGTTCCGAAGATGAGTAGAACTGTACCCGGGCCAGCCAATGCAGGGTTAACCCAACCAACCCATTCTGCCTGGGCATCTCTCTGGCTACACCAGTGTATGTATTGAGGGGAACATTTTAACAGGACACAGAAATAGAGACTGCACAGCCATGGCCAGTCCCCGTCCCAGAGAGCCTGAACGCCTTCACTGCTTGACTCCTGTGCAATTACCTTTGGTGCATTGACCTAGATTTTGCTGTTTAATTTCCCTGGTTTTGAAAAGAAAACAAGCCCCAGGACAGTCAGTGCTTTTAAGTGCAAGCTGCTGGACTGGCACGGATCGGCCTCGGCTACTTTGGCCACAAAGGGGTGTGTATCTGGAGTTGGCTTGAAACCTCGCTCAGTGCCAGTGTAGACACAGCTTAACACCTTTAAGATCATCTGAGCTGGCAGTGTTGTAACCTAGATTCCCCTCCCAGCAGAGGCTTTGAGCAGGCTTCCACCTACCATGCAATGTTTGCTGGATGTTTCTACTTACATGACCACAGTTAACAATTCTGCCATTTAAACTGACCTGCTGCTTGCTCTGAATCCCAAACTGGGGGGGTCTCAGCTCCTCTGCTGTGGCGAGGGCTCTGTCTGCGGCCTCAGGAAGACATCACTACATCAGTTCCATTTGCAAATTTTTCTTTGCAATTCAACATCTAGAAATCTTTTAAAATGGGTCGATTCTGCAGCAAGTGGTGGATGCTGCAGACAAGCCGGTTCCTGTGTGCCTAGTTCTAAATGCTGCAGGAGCCCAGAGAGCTCAGCAGACAGTCGGTCTGCAGAGAAGGCTATGGACACGGGGAAGCATGTGTCAGTGTTGGTTCTGAGCTGAACATAGGGTTGTTCTCCCAGCATTAGCCCCAGGGCCTGCTGTGCAGAGGCAGAGCCCAGCTCTTTAAATGTTTACACTTGTCCGGGGGACTTTTTGCCAACGACTAAAGGACCAAGTCCTTGGGGAGTACGAGTAACCCTGACAGCTCCGTGTTGGGCAGTTCAGCCATTTCTGAATTGCCTACGCCAAAAAGCCCCTTTGCATTTCCCAGACTTGGCTTTCATGGGGTGGAACTCAAAAGCAGCTACCAGGACTCGGCTGAAACTTTACCCCAATAGTACATTTCCATTTAGCTGGGAGAGAGCAGTGCTTGGAGAACCGGCTGTACTGAAATCCAGCCTGCCCCGCAGGCAGTGCAGGGCAAAGCTAGAACCAGCCCAGAAGGTTCTGAATGAAACCCGCTGCCTGGGTTCTGTCCGATGGGGGAATGACTGGTTTAGTAGATTGCTAGTGCGATATATGGTCTCTTGGTCTCCCGTTAAATGCAGTCTTGGGGTTGAGCGCTCCAAACAGTTTCCATCTGACCGGCACATGAAGGAGTCTGGTCTCAGTCCACTCCTACTGTCCCATCACTGATGGCCCATGTAGGCCTCTCTGGAAGACTAAGCAAGAAGGCCAAGGCTCTTGGCTGTGGAGTCGGCCTATTTGCATTGGTATCCATTGCTCTGCAACCCTTCTCCCTCCATAGGCAGCCTTTGGGGGGCAGCTTGGAGGGATGTGGGAGCTATCCATCCCAGAGTGGTCAGTCCAGCCACTCTCCCCAACACTCAACTCCCTCCTGGCCTAGAGGAGACCTGCATTCTGCTCTTGTGGGAGCTGCGGGGCAGCCTCCGGCTCAGGTGCCTTGGCTGTATTTTGAATGAAGGCTGAGGGTGTGACGAACTGGGATTGTTCTTAATGTGGTCTTTGAATGCTGAGTGGGGAGTGTTGGCTGGGAAGGCAGGGGAGTGTGGCTAGGATGGTCTGCATGTGGGGATGGGAGACTGGCCGAGGGAAGATACCTGAGCGTGTAACATGAGAACCCAGGAAGGGGTTAGAGGCCAGGTGACACCTTTGCCCGGGAAACTGAACAAAGGGTGGGGGGAGAGTTTCAGAGCTGGCTGGTGGAATGGCTGGGGGGTAGACGGGGCTCTGACCTCCCAAGGGGGCTGTGGTGCCCTGGGACCCCAAGATGGACCTAACTGAGGGGGTCCTGTTGTCTGTGCCTGCAAGACCTGTCTTGGACTGTGTCCCTGTTGTCTAAATAAACCTTCTGCTTTACTGGCTGGCTGAGAGTCATGGTGAATCGCAGGAAGCTGGGGGTGCAGGGCCTTGTGTCCCCCCACACTCCGTGACAGAGGGCTCTCTCTCTCTCTTTCCCCCAGGGGTATTTTTGGGGCTGGGGCTGAGTGGCGTTGTGCCCACCATGCACTTCACCATCGCTGAAGGGTTTGTGAAAGCCACCACCGTGGGCCAGATGGGGTGGTTCTTCCTCATGGCTGTGATGTACATAACAGGAGCAGGGCTGTACGCTGCCCGCATCCCAGAGCGCTTCTTCCCTGGCAAGTTTGACATCTGGGTGAGTACAGCCTTTGCTGGGGGCATGGGAAGAGCCTGCCTTCTCCTTGAGGGGTATCCTGCTGAGAAAGCCAGGAGAAGTGGTGCTAGATGCACTCTAGAGCGCAGCCTGGGGCTGGACCCAGAGCTTCTGGGTTAGACTCATCTGGGACAGCTCTGGGATGTGGTGCTCTGCTGGGTAATGAAGAGCAGATTGTGAAGAGAGCAAGAGGGGCAAAAGAGAAGGCAGGGGTAGCCTGTGGTTCCAGGACTCAGCATGCAATGCAGCCTTGCTGCTTAGATCAGGCTGGAGCAGTGCATGTGGGGATTTGTAGTCTCCATGGGCCAGTAACAAATGCTGTTACTGACCCTAAAGCTCTCCAGTCCTTGGGTCTGTGGCCTCCCATTGGCTTCTTCAAAATGGACCCCTTACATCCCTTGCTTATTGCCTTTTGAGGCTGAAGTAGTGTTTCTTTTTCAGGGGAAGTGATTTCCCATTGCCCCAGCCTTTCCAGGGGAACCCAAACTGAGCTCGGCGAGCCAGACAGCTTCAGCAGTGGAGCCAGCTGTGCTCAGGGAGTTGCCCTGCCTAGGTCGTCTGCGGGCTCTGCAGCCCAAACCATCTAGGTCCCTCTTTCAGAATTGTAGGTCATGTCTATTGATATCTTGGCCCCAGTATGTATTTCAAACTGAAAGTTCGAAGGCCAGTGGGTTCCTTCCTGCAGCTCTTAGCTGCTGTCGGGGGCTAATTTCAGAGGGACTTGACTTTGCCATCCACTCCAGCTCCCGGGAAGGCAGCTGGCTCCGCTCCCCTCAATTTAGCTTGGCTTGTGGTTTCACACATACATACGCAGAGGAATGTACCTCTCTGTCCCAGGCAATTTTAGTTCCAATAGGGTGAGATAAATGGCCCGTTTCAAATAGAATCTCCCTTTATCCTGTGTATTGAGCTTTTTCCTCCTGGCATTGAGATGTAAACTACCAGATAAGCAATGGGTTGAACCAGTAGGTCATGACTAGAGGCACTGAAAGGACCCCTGACCGGTCTGCCTGGTTTGTGATGCTGCAATATACATGGAGCTCTGACCGTTCAGGACAGGACTCACCTTTTGTGGTTGTTGGCTTCTTGCTGGTCTAACTTTTAAGGGCTTTATCTCACCTTCCCACAGTTCCAGTCGCATCAGATCTTCCACGTGCTGGTGGTGGCTGCAGCCTTTGTCCACTTCTATGGAGTCTCAAACTTGCAAGAATTTCGCTATGGACTCGAAGGGGGATGCACGGACGACTCTCTGCTCTGAGAACATCTAATGACTTTAGTACCAGCTTCCTAAGTGCTTTTTTAAACTACTTCTTTGCTAAAATCAAAGGAAGACTCTCAACTCTTTGGGTTTTTTGTTTTGTTTTTTTAAGAGGATGTTCTCCAGCAAAGTCCATAATGACCAAATCCTTGCCCCGTCTCCGAGTGATTTGCTGGACATTGCCAATGGTGTCCAATAGGAAGAAGCACGTTCAACTATTAGCCCTTCCTGGGGAATAAAAACCCTCCTCCACCACACAGTGTTCTAATCACATTAGGATTTTCTGTCTAGTGCAGAAATTCTGTTTCCGAAAGCCAGGGGTGCAGATTGCCTGCTCCCCAGCACAGAAGGGTGGCCCCATTTTTAGCCCAGTTCTGGAGAGACGGGAAACTCATGTATTAGTCCATGGTCTGGGTCTCCTCCATATCTGAAGGAGCAACCCGCCGCCTTCCTGAGGACTGGCCCCAGAGCCTGCAGTGCTAATGAACAGGGGCTGTTCACAGGTTCATGTAACTTACCTTTTAACTATCTTTTTCTTGACACAGTAATGTAAATGGAATAAGAGACTATTTAATATTTAATACTAAGCTTTAAAGAGAGACTTGGTGCCACTTCAATGTGTCTGCCCATGAGCTGTTTGTGGTAACACAGGAGGGTCAGGACAGTATTTTAGGGGAATGTAGAGCTGCTGTACTGAGTGAAATAAAAAGGTCAATAGTTATTGTCATGCTGGGAGCCTCCGTGTCCTGGTTTGTCAGGTGTCAGCACCGGGCACTGCCAACGGTGAGAATGGAAAGGTGGCTCCTGCTGAGGCTGGTGTGGAGCCTGCAGCTAAGCCAATGGGGGTCTGCTGCTGGGCTGTGAGTCCAGACCAGGCCACGAGCACAGTGCTGAGAGCAGAGACTGCAAGTTTGGCAAAATGGTGATAAGGGGGGACTTCAACTAACCTGCTCAAATAGCATAGCAGCTCCAAATTCCTCAACCCATTCAACGATTGCTTCTTGCAGCAGGAGAGACTGACTTGTCAGTAACACGCAGGGGTTGGGTCAGGAAGTAATAGCAGCTTAGCCACTAAATAATGGTGGCCTGGCCTATTATCCAGTTCAGCATTGTAGGTTCGGTGCCAGAACCTTTAGAAAGGAAAATTCCACCACAGTGAGACAGCTCATTGCAAAGGCCCTGAACTCAAAAATGAAGGAAGTAAAATTCTTCATGTGGCATAGATGCTACATAAGGAAACAATAGGACAGTCTCTGAAGATGTGTGTACCGCTGAACAAAGAGAAGCAGCAGGGCAAGAAGTAAACTATCTGGCTAAAGGTCAGGGGGCTCGAGGTTATCTGGGTCAAGAGCTCCTTTGCAATGTGGAAATCTAGCCCCAGTGAAGCCAATATCTGGCCTGCATTGTGCAGGAGGTCAGACTAGATGATCATAATGGTCCCTTCTGACCTTAAAGTCTATGATTCTATGAAAAAGGAGCATAAACTACACCTGGCAAGGTGAGTGGAATGAGCAGGGCTAAGCTAGAATTCAAAAAGCTAACACAAAACACACCTTCATTGTGGATGAGAAGCAGGAAGAGCTAGATCCACAAAGCTACTTGGGGCAAGTCTACACTACAGTGCTACATCAGTGCAGCTGCAGGACATCTGGTGCAGACCCCCTGTGCCCAGGGGAGAGCGCATCCCCAATGGCATTATTACGCCACCTTGGTGAGAAGCAGAAGCTATGTTGGTGGGGGAGCAGCTCCTGTGGACAGCGTGACACTTGTGTCGCTCGGGGAAGGGGGGTGGCTTTTACACACCCCTGAGCGACATAAGGTATATTGACTTAGGCAGCTTAGCATCTCAGGGCAGGTCTACACTGTCCACTCAAACCCACGACTGAGCTGCTGCTGGGGCCTTAATGCAACCCTACAGCTAATGAGCTGCACAGAGCCCTCTGTGAAGCCACTCTGGTAGCATTATCAGACTAGGGCTTCCCACCCCAGTCCCACAGGTGTTCTCTGAGCATGCCCGGACAGGAATGTGGATGTGCATACAGACCCTGGCATAGGGAGAGAGAATGGGGAACCCTGGGAATAGAAGGGCAGAGCCCCTGGTCTGGGGAGAGAGTGAATGGACCCCTGGTATGAGAGGGAGGGAGGAAGGAGGTGGTCACACACAGAGCCCAAAGCATGATGGGAGGAGTTGCAGGGAGTCCCTAAAATAAAGGGGGATGGGAGGGAGAGAAATGGAGGCGTGTCAGGAGCCCCTGGCATGGGTGAAGAACCCAGCCTGCAGAAGTTAGGAAGTGTGTGACCCTTAATGATGATCTGGAAATGTGAGGAGACAAAATTTACACCTAGATCCACAAAGAGACTTAAGTGCTGAATTGTTTGTTCAAGCCCTTCTGACAGTTGGTTCTCAAAACCACCACTGAGCTACCACCTAACCCCTGAGGTGCTTAAGTTCCACTGGTGGGCCTGACCCAGCCCATGGCCGAACACGTGACCCCTCATGCCGAAAATGCAGCCCTGCCAGCCTCGAAGCAGGATTCTCAACTCGCGTTGACCTGCCCATCTCAGCAGCAGAGCCTGATCCTGCAGGTGTTCTGGGAACATGCCTAAGACCTGGTGGCTGTCTGTCACAAGGGATGGCTGGAGGGTGTCTGTGTCCCAGTTTAGTGGTCAGGACACTTACATGGGCTGTGGGAGACCCAAGTTAGATTCCTGCTCTGCCAGATTTGGAGCACCAGCTTGAACCCAGCTCTCCCCCAGCCTGGGTGAGTCCCCTCTCCGCCAGGATCTTGGTTATAACATGGTGGTTTTGTGTCAGAAAGGTCTGGGTCACAGGTGTAGTTTGGGGGGGGGGGCACTGCAAGCCTCAGGCAGGTGTGGGATTTGCCTCCCCTCATGCGGCTCTGTTGGCCCCTCCAAACATAGAAGTCAGACTACACCTATGCTCTGGGTGTTGTCTGGTAGGGCAAGGGCTGGCCTGGTATTCAACTCCAGGTGAGGGTTCACGGGTCAGAATCCCGAGTGCAGGGAGCTGCCTCCTGCCTGTCTGTCAATGGGAGTTAGGCACCCAAATACCTCTGCATTTCACCCCTGGCTGGCTCCGATGCGCCATGCTTGGCTGGCTGGCCTCTGAGGACCCTTCCTTAGGTGCCCAATTCTCTCCGTGGTGAGGATTCCACTCTGTAGCAGGGCACTGGGAGTTAGGTGCTGCAGTGCCTACATGAATTTAGCATTTAGTTCTGTAGATCGGTCAGGACTAGCGGGCCATGAGCAACACCAGGGTGATCGAACCAAGCTAGGTGAATGAGCAACATGATGGCAGATTAAATTCAGGTGATGCCTGCTGAAGGGGAAATGTGTCATCAGAATGGATGTTGATAAATTGCAGAGGGTTCAGGGAAGAGCTACAAGAATGATTAAAGGATTAGAACACCTGCCTCATAGTGAGAGACTCAAGGAGCTCCATCTATTTAGTTCAACCAAATGAAGGCAAAAGGGTAACTGGATCACAGTCTGTAGGTACCTTCTTGGAGACCCAAAATGTGATAATGAGCTTCTGTTTGAGCAGACAAAGGTAGAGTGCGATCCACTGACTGGAACTGAAGCTAAACAAATTGAGACTGGAATGAAGGTGCAAATGTTTAACAGTGAGGGAATTAACCATGGGAACAACTCACCAAGGATCATGGTGGATTGTCCATCACTGGCAATTTTAAATCAAGATTGTCTGTTTTTCTAAAAGCTCTGTTCAAGTTCAAACAGGAATGAAGTCACGACAGTCCCATGGCCTGTGTTATACAGGAGGTCAGCCCAGATGAGCCCAGCTAGGTCCTCTGGCCTTGGAAGCTATGAACACACTTCACCGGATCCAAAATTAACTGTCACTTGAGGAAAGAGACTGGTTCATCCCAGTGCACACCTCACTGCACACACCATCTCACTGTGCAGCTGTGGCCAAACGAAGCACACAAAATATTAGGCGGTAAAAGGAACAGGATGGAGAGTAATAAAGAGAATATCATTATTAGTAGCAACTGCACAAGTGGTGCAGTAATGAGGGGAAAAGGTTCAGCAATATAAAGTAAGGCGCTAAAACAGAAATGTATAAGTAAAAGAAAAGTCTGCAAAGGGCTTAGGGAGACATCACATATTTTAGCCATTCAGTAGCTTTGGAGTCAGCTGTGTGGAGTCTGGAAAGGCCTGACAGGCCAGCACAAGATGAGCAGCCATTCAGTAGGTATGCAGCATTGCTCACTGCATCGCAGCTACAGAGGGCTGTTCTTGAGACCCCAGGTGTGGTCATTTGCCTCTGAACTGGGGAACAATGCTGCTTTGTTGTTGTCCTGCACTCTGAGAGAGCCCTTGGGAGAAACGAAAGCAGCAAACAGCAGGCCGAATTTAGACAATCCGGATCCCAGTTATGGTGGTACTGAGTGGTCCTCGTTAGTTCTTCACTCTCCATTTGTCAACTCAATATTATAATGCCATTATATAAATAAATACTGTGTGCGGTATTAGTCCCCCAGCTCAGAAAGGATATTGAAGCAGCAGAGGGGGTTCAGAGGAAGGCAAGGAGAATGAAGAGGGACTTAGAAAAACTCTCCTCCAAAGAGAGGTTGAAAAGCCTGGGATTATTACAGTAGAAAGGTGACAAATAGAAACAGACATGCTAAAAATATACAAACTAATGCCTGGTCAAGAGAAGGGAGAATGGGAGCTTCTGTTCTCTCTGTCTCATACCATAAGGAAAAGGGACAGTCAATGCAATTAAAAGGATGCAAATTCAAAACTGATAAAAGGAAATACTTTTTTTACACAGCATGTAGTTAAACTGCAGAACTCACTGCTAGAGGAAGTTATTATTTAGCAATACTCAAAGGGAGCTTGGGCATGTATGTGGCTAATGACAAGTGTTAGAATAGTTTGCTTTAAAAATAAAATTTTGGCTGAGCTAAAACGTTCTGCTTCAGGTCTTGAACGGATCTGATTACACAGCAACTTTCATGGGCGGGAGGGTGAGATGCGGCAGAATATACACTGTTTGCTACAGCGGGGTTCCTACACCTTCCTCTGAAGTAGCTGGTTCTGGCCTTGGGCAGCAACAGACCACTGGGCTAGGTGGGCCTTGGGGCTGATCCATCTGGCCATTCCTGTATACCTAATTGCATGAGAGCAAGTGTTGTTTACCTTAGCCCCAACAGGTAGGCTGCGTGCATTACAGCCCCAGTGCGGCCCCAGCTACACCATGGGGCAGCCTGGGCCTGCCTGAGTCACAGCCTCTCCCAGTGCTGCTCTGCACATGGGGCACTAACCTTGAGGCTGGTACAGCATGTCCCCTCCACCCCGGGCTCTGCCAGTGCTGTGAGCAGGGCCATGGTCCATCAGGCTGCTTCACCCCGTGTCACCCCACTGAGTTCCACAGAGGGGATGCAGCCTGCGTGTTGCAGGTGTGAGCAATGCCTTTGTATAGCCACACCAGTGAGGACAGCACAGGCTGGGTGATGTCATGAGACAAGGCTCCTACCCTGACGCACTGGTAGGGTACATAAGTGACTCCCAGAGTGGGGGGTGTCTCCCTGCCCCCACATCCTTTCCCTTGTCCCTGAACTACTGCACCCCAGCCCCTGGGCTGCCCTCCCCGCTGCGCAGAGGGTGCTGGTTGCTGCCAGGCCACAGTCCCCCACAGGTGATGGAGCCCTGGTTCTCCAATGCTGCTGTACTCTGTCCCTT